CAATTAGTGTGACAACTTTTGACCTGTCTATGACAGACACTGCAACTCTCTTAATATCGTTTTAATAAACTTTGCAATGGAAAATAACAGTTTAATGACTTATAGTCGTTCAATCTATAATCAATGGATCGAACAATCCATAATCAACGAATCGTACAATCCATAATCAACCGGTGATATAATAAATATGACTTTTGTTATTAATAGCATTTGTGTTTTTTTAGCTTTAGCTCAGTTTAAAACATTTTATAATAGCCTAACATGGCCAGAAAATAATTTTATTCAAAGTTCAAAGAGTAAGTGAAAGTTGTGTGTTGCGCGCACCAGATTTTTTTACTTTCCTACCTATACTATGTAAGGACAGTATTGCAATCGGGTCAAATTTCCAATATGCGGTTTTCGACGGATCTATACGTTTCAGAGCCCCCTGAGTCCGAAAAACACATTTTTATAGATTGGTCTGTCTGTCTGTCTGTGCCAAGATTTTCTCGGGAACTACTGAACTGATTTTGTTGCTTCTTTTTTTATTTTGTAGGGTTTTGACTACTGATGCCTGTGACAGAAATTCGGTGCTCCATGCGCAATAAATGCAAAACATGTTTTTCTATAGACTGTAGCGCGAAAACGGCTCTAACGATTTTGATGAAACTTACCTATAATGTTCTAATCATTGTCCTTTCAATTTTCGTATATAGACTAAATTACCGAAAAAATCAGGAAAAAACTTATAAAGAAAAGAAAAATGTTATGGGGCCTAACTCCCTAAGTATATTTTTAATATTGTAAGTAAGCTTCTTATTCAAAAAGTTTCAACATTGACATATATATATTATACTCAAATACCCATCATGGTATTTGTCACCTGCAATTTATACTCCTTGGCATAGCAATGATGAATGTTTTATGGCCAACATTTAAATGTTTTAAGGCATCCATAGATTTGGAAAACGTTTAAAAAATTTCATTTTTCAATACAATATTTGTATTTTTTCTTTCATTAATATATAAATGGTTAACTTTTTTGAATAAATGGACAAGGCACTGATAACCTTGTTGTCTAAAGCCAGGAAAAACCAACAAAGATTTAAATTTATATAGCTGCTAACTGTAAAATTATAAGCTAGTAATAAACTATAACATACATCTTTGTCTGAAGCATGTAGTAGACATCAAAAGGAAAATCTAGTTCATAAAATAAGAATTACACAGTTTATTTCAACTTATATAACATTGAGACAAAAATAACTTAGTTTATTTTCATGTTTTTCAAAGTAAATTTATTTATATAATTTTAAACACTAACCAATGATATATGTGCTATTTTGATGGATGACCTTTTGCCACTTTTATGGTAAAATCGTAAGTCCGTCACTGTACAAGTTCTAAGATTTCTGGACGAAAAACTGAACCAAGTAATTTTCACAATCTTTTGATGCCAGCTTTACACCATTAAGAGGGTTCTGCAGAGAACAAAACAAATTGTAACCAGACGGGGCAAGGTCTAGGCTATATGGTAGATGTATCAAAACTTTCCAGACAAGCTCTCTCAATGTTTACTGAGTAATTAAAGAGGTGTGTGGTCTAGCGTTGTCATGACGGAGAAGACATTGCCTTTCCTAATGATCAATTCTAAGCATTTTTTCTTGAATCGTCTGCTTCAATTGCACTAGTTGTTCACATCAGAGTTGAATTGATGGTCTAGCCAGGTTTGAGCAACTCATGATGAACAATTCCTTTCCAATCTCACCAAACACTCAGCATCACCTTCCTTGGCATCAATCTAGGCTTTGATATTATCTGCGAAGTTTCTACGGACTTTGGTCATGATCTTTTTCGCACATTATTGACGTAAATGATCCACTTTTCATCACCCATAATCATTTGTTTTATTTTTATTTTATTTTTCAATTTTCTTGCTTCTCGGCAATACAGATTTTTGGCAGAAGCAGCGTGATACTTCTACCACTTATCTTCTGATTCTCCGTTCTTCATTAGTGGAGGTTCAAGTGATCATCCTTTACTAATTCCTTCCATTACGAATGCTTCCTAGTATGGGTAGTTATCCTTACTTACTAGCTGAGGGAAATCGTCCTCCTTGATGATGTGGAATCCGGTTTCCCTCAGTAGTTTGGCCCTTATTGCTAAAAAATTTAATCATTTGTTTTATAAACATCTCAATATTGTTTTGTTTCAGCAGCAATTCACAAATGGAAACTCGGTCCATTAAATTTTTCACTGTGAATTCATGTGGAACCCAAGTATCAAGATTCTTTTGGTATCCAGCCTTATGTAAATGGTTCAAATCTGTTTTCTGGATCAATCTTTAGTTCCATAGTGATGTCACGAGATAAAAATATATCAATCTACCTGTTTTTTGAAGAATTTCATTCATAAACTTTTTCAACGATTAGTCGGCCAGGTACTGGTACTGGTGGGGGGACTTAGTCCAACAAGTGGGTCTATTGGTCCTTTTTGCCAACCCCAAAGATGATACTACCACTTAGCCAGTCAGGGCTCATCTTTAACATCAAAATTTCTGGAACGAAAACCAGCAAACCAATTCTAAGACTGTCGTTCGCTTAAGCAATCAATACCATAAACATCATACAATTTTCTATAATCCCGTGCTGAATTTTTTCCTTTTCGGAATCAAAACAGCAAAATATGAAGAAAATGACTATCTGTACTCTCCTTTTTTAAAGTGCAATAACTGTTGACTGAGTAAATGAATCATGCTTTTTTTATACATAGAGTGTTCTATGGACTATAATCTTCCTAATCTACCATTGAACTGTTTCATTGAATAAGAATTCCAAAACGTAAGAAACTTTAAATTCATCTATCGGGATAAAACAAAATTAATTTTTCCTCAACGCAATAAACAATTTTAGCTTTTGCATAATAGCTTTCAAACCATCACTATGTAATATAAAAAGCAGTATTTAAATTTTAATGACTAAATTGTTATTCGTTCATAATAATTCTTAATAAAAGATTTTGGCTATATTTATTCCACCATTTTATTTTTTTATTTATTTTTTTTACACTGGCAACGTAACAGCTATGTCGCCGAAGAAATATGTATATTAACAGCCACAAAGTAAAACCTGTTGTAAATAATAGCGTTTTAAAAAAATAAATAAATTAAAAGGGAAAGAAACTATATACTTTAAAAAATAGTTCAGGCAGTTAACAACATCCAACAAAGTACAGTATAATTAATTAACATGACCATAGGGCATAGAAACTTTAAATCATTCACAGAAAATCACATACATGATTATGAATATCAAACAATAGAGTAAATATAAGAAATAACACATTTACAATTTATAATTTGCGGTGAGGATCCGTTGTTACCTTGGAGCCTGGAACTGTGGCGAATAGGACCTCGCCATAAGGATTATATTACATATTAAAAAATACATATAATTCTTTTACATCTTTTTTATATTTTATATTCTTATACAATTTTTATAACATAAAGGTTGTCTAAAATACTTATTCATGTAAACTAAAATATAATAATTAACAATGTTTAGGTAATTAGTATTAAATTTTCAAACCTAATAGTTCTAATTTTAATTTCTCTATTTCTTCTTGGTCTTTTGCAATCTTTCTTTCCAAAATTTCTTCAGCTTTTTCAAGGTAACGTGCATGATCACCAACCATCATTTCCTTATCAATATCCTCGAGCATTTTTCTGAGAAGATTAAACATAAACTATTAATCAAGAACTCATTAACTTTCAAATTTTATTTTTGTAAATCAAATCAAATGCAATATTTAGTAATATTATAATCATTTATTTTAATTGAATAAATAATAACAACTTATGGATTGGAATGCCTCAATCTTTTGGACAAACCCTTGAATTCATAATATTCAATTCCTTAAATTAATAGTGAAACTTTGAATAGCAATTCAAATTTTAAATACTGTACACTAATTTCATTTACATTAAAGTTTCACTAAATAAAAACTGGAAAAAAAATTCACTAAATTTAATAATTGAAGATGTATTACCTTCCTGAGAGTTTTAAACTTTGTAATTTCCCTACTGTTCTTTCGGTAATTTCCTTAAAAATGTTAACACTTTCTAATTTAATATCAGAGGCATCAACTTGTAACTGACTTAACTTTTCGATTTGTAACTTTTGTTCAAGTATCTGCTCATCCAATTGTTGTAAAAAATCACTGATACCACCATCAACTATTGGAAATTTCACCTTAGTGTCTAAATTAGAACAAAATTTATAAAACATACTAATTTGTTCAGAAATACACTCTTTCAGTTGTTCGCTCTCTTCAGGAGTTAAATGTTCAGGGCTTTCTAACAAAATATCTTCATCAATACCCAAAAAATTAATATCTTTATTAAAATCCTTTAAAGTACTACTTTCTGATTTAAGAGTAATTCTGCTATATGCTGATTCTGACCTGATAGTGCTTTCATCAAATGAATCGTTTCTATCATACATTAAGGAGAGAACTTTTACCTTCACAGCAGGACTCAAATGACTACTACTGATACATCTTTTTAAACAATATATCATTACTTCACTCTGCAGATACTTATCATAACTCAGTTCTTCTTTTGCACTTGTCATAATAAAATGGATAAATCGGGTTATATATAATATTGATAGAAAACTAAGGGTAGCTTGTCATAATACCCTGTCAAAAACCCAACCCACAATTTTCAAATTAAGGTTATAGCGTATTGGCGGGAAAACTAATTCATTGGTGAACGTTGGTTACACCAGATCGTTTACTCAGCTAAATTAAATTACTATTTAAGCCTTGTCTGTAATATAGATAATTCTACAGATAGTAACACAAAATTTAATTCTAAAAAGTTATTTATCTATCAGTAATTGAATTTAAATCATTCCATAATTATCATTTCCTCTATGATAGATTAGACAGGGATGGTAAATTAGCTAGAAAAATAGGCTTGAAGAGTTGTTTTTTTAAAAATCTGTTGCATTTATTTGTATATTTTTTAATACAACGAATTTAGTATTCAGTTATGGAAGATTCTCAGTAGTATTCAGTTATAGTCTACAGTTTAAATTTGGCGGGACTTCTCCTGGCAAGGCTATAATCTTGTTATCAACGGTGCTTCAGGTTATCACTGTGTCGGCTTAAGTTTAAGGGCAAGTTCAAACTTGCCCAATCCTTGATTCCTTTTAAGGTATGCAATTAACAATTTGTGTTTTCAACACAAATCAATGTGATTCTACCAACCAGCTGCTGAGCTGGTACTTCAAGCAATATATGAATTTTCTTTTTGATTTCAAATCATTATATTTTTAAAACCTATATGTCAACTATTTTGGGATGGCTTCTCAAACACCTAGTTGTAGAAAACAGTGGAGCTTATCCAGTGAGTCCTTTCCTGATTTTCATATGTATCAAATCAGTAGTGTAGAAATCTTTAATCTTGTATTGATAGTTGAATAAATATCTTGTTGCTATGGTTATTAAAGCTAATGATCTAACATTTTAAAGGGGGTCCTAAAGGGAATGTAGAAAGTTTAGTTTGGGCTGAATGCGGGTGCCCTGAACAGCAAGTTAATTTAGCCAAACAACTTCTGGAAGACAATGGAGGTAATAGGATTTTCATTGAATCTACTCTCCCCTTTTTTAGTGGTACTTGTTCATAGAAATATGTTATTTGTTTTCTTACAGAAGAGGGGGTTGATAAAGAAGAAAGGGCACGACTTGGTGTTTATTGGCTCACCAAAGCATCCGAGAAGGGCCATGAAGAAGCAACTCGAATGCTTCAGGATTGTATCGAAAATGGAATAGGTAAGTGGTGCCCATCACCTTATTTCAGTTAAAGTGATTTTAAAATTTTAGAAGTTAAAGATCTTTCATAGTTGTTTAACTTTAGGAATAACGGAACACAATTTAAGTGATGTTAAAGTCTGTTTGGATATGTCCCAAGGAGAAAAATTATCTCGAGAAGCTGCCAAAGAATTATTTCTGAAGTAATAAACACATTGGTAATATTTTTATTTAAAATAACTAATTGTTAATAATGTAGTATGATGTAATTTTTAGCCTCTCTCAGGGAGAAAATTTTATAACTGCATTCCAACTGCACAAGGAAATAACCAAGCATTCTCTTGAAAATTCGGATATTGAAGAAGGTACAATTTCATTTTAATAATAAATATATGGTAGTAATTTATAGCTTTTGAATTAACTGAATAGCCTGTATTTATCATTTTGATTTAACTTTCGGGGAAATAGACTTCCTTAATGAACTTATTTCATCAGCCAGAATACATTAAAACATTAACATTTGTGGAATTTTCCCTCTTTTCAGAACGTTCTTAGTAACAATATGCTAAAACATACTCATTTTTGTAGTTGGAATACATTATCCACCAACTGGTCCAACAAAGTTTTTAAAAAAATTGAGGAGTGGTTAGTTTACTACAGGTTTATCATATTCAATGACACAAAAAAAAAATATGTTTGTTATTAATTTTTAAATAAAAAGTTCAAATTATGCCCAACTCTGACAAATAAAAACTGCCCATTTCACCTTTCAGTTTTAATGTTTTCATTGAAATTTATTCCTTTGCTAGCAGTATTGTTAATTGAGAATGTTATTATGCCTAAGGTACCATACCAAAGTGGGACATTTTGGCAGAGGGCAGTGGAGAAAAGGTAACTGAAGAAATGTTGGTAGCTGCCGCAAGCCACCATTCAAGGGGTCAGCTCCCCTTAGTTTTGAAAAAGCGATCTATGCTCAGATCATCAAGAGTCTCTGCCCTAGTGACAACAATCAGCGAGACATCTGTTCTACCCCATCCTTTAATAATTGTGACTTTGTTCCTTTTATTAGGTTTAGATATTTTCATCAGTGCTGTACCTTTATTTATTTATTATGGAAGCTTGATCGTTATGGTCATTTCTTCTTGTCAAGTGATTTCCAAGAAATGGGATTTTGCCAATTTTCAGAGGTTAGTATCTTATACTGCTCATACACAATTTAGTAAGTTAGTAGTTGTTAAGTGAATGTTTCTTCACTTAAGATTAATGAATATTTCTTTTCATAAATTTTGTATTATATACAAAAATATATAAATCTTAGTACCTGAAATAAAGTAAACAAACTCATTTTTAAGGTCCTGAGCCCACTAGTTGAAATATATAAATAACCCAATAAACACGAAAAATGAAAACATATAAAAGCTAAAATAATTAAAAGAAAGTTGCAAATTTTATTTATTTTATAATGTTAACAATATTGTATTTTAATAGATTCATTGTTAAACAAACTTTCGTAGTTGAAAAAATCAAACTATATACCTATAATTAAAATATCTCTTATATAACAACTAATAAGGGGAGGCTACGTACATGGAACCACTAATCTAAAGAAATTTATTATAGCCTACTCATACAAGTCTTACAACTTGTAGGCCTCCTCTAATTAAGAGGGTAATGGTTTAACTTCCCGCGGGGACCAGCCGTAGTGAGAAGTAGGGCCAGGATTCGATCCTATGATCTTTGCTTTACTAGTATAGCGCGCTAACCACTCTGCAATACTGGCCCCACTCATGCTCATACTATATTTTAAAAACTAACTCTCTAATTAAAATGGATCGGTAATTTTTCTAGGTAACATAGAATGCATTATGGTGAGATATGGTATTCTGGAATGTTCTTATTTACATCAGTCTTAGCTAGTTTGTCTAATAATTCTAGATATAGTTGAATTTTATTTTTTCATAACTCCAGCCTCTAAGTAGATTGTTCTCTAATGCAATTGTTTTTATTTTCTTTGGCTGTATCACAGATATATTTTAAGGTTATTTTGTATAAACCATAGCTTCAAACTTACAAATTTATGTAACCTTATTACTTCTAATAATGTAAACTGTTAAGCATACCTACTTATGGTATATTGGCTTATATGCCCATGCATGAAGCCAAAAAAAATAAAAACACAAATGATTATTTTCCATCGGTAATGATGATGGTGCTCACCTCTATATTATAATTTCTAGATTCTTATTTTAATTTGGATTTTTACCTTATATTTTTTATTTTTCTTATTCAGTAAATGATTTTGTTCTCACAGGTGGTCTAACCTGCTTGTGACTTATGGCTGTGACGAACAAATATCATTGGAAGCTCAATGGTCTCATTGTCTTCATAATAGTCAACCTTGTTTTATATTCTTACTGTCTCTTATTACTCACTTGCTCCTTGTATCTTATGTACCTGATCCTCCCATGTCAGAAATTGCTGTCTTATCAACTTTTATGTCTCTGTTCTGCCTCTACAATTTAGCTGTAAGTCTATGCATTACTTAATGCTTGCATGGTTATTGTTTTAAATGTTTCTCTATATTTAAAGGATTTTATACTAACAATTTACATTTTTATTTGAAATATTTTATTTAGCTGAAGTAACTGAATTCTCAAGGCTTTGCATAGAGTGAAAAGGGCTTTTTTAGGGAGTGTAGTATTTTTTTTAATCTCAAATAAGTAGTAAATCGCCGTTTTATTTTGATTATTAATTGATTTCACAAACTTTTCTGTTTTCATTTAGAAAATAATTGAAATCAGCAGGTATTAAATGGAACATTTTATGATCTTTCGCCATTCAATTTTTTAAATATTTGATTTGTTAGTAGAGAAAGGAATGGATTTGTGATATTTTATATCAGATGTAAATAGTAATTTTTCACTTATGAATATATAATCAAATTTGTTTTGAACAGTTGAGTAAGAGGATCATTTTTTCAAGATCTCACATTCAAAGTGTCTTGTTTTAAGGAGGTAGTGTGGAAAACATAGTAAATTTAGATAGAAGATAAACACAAACTCTTTAATCTTAACAGGGTGTAATGTATCCAATGACTTCACTGTAAATCGAACACTGACAATTTCCATTTATTGTTCCTGATTACATTTGTGATCTTAATCACTGAAAAAACATATGACTCATTACCTAAAAGATGTAATACTAAATTGATTTAGTATTTAACCATTTAACAAAAGGTTAATATACTACACAGGGATTTAAATTAATTTATTTTAATGATATTTAGCATGCCGTATGAGGATAATTGAGTAGTATTTAAATAAAAACTTAGTAGTGGCTAAATATTAAATAGAAAAAATTAATTTGATAGGAATTATGGATGGCAACCCATGCAATTTCCCAAATCATACCACAATAGATTTGATATTGCTTGTCTTATGCAAGAGATGCTCTGATTTTCTTTCAAGTAAATTCATAAATTTTTGAGATGGATTTACATTATTTCTAAATTTAAGATGAAATGGACAGCTACTGATTATTATCATTGTTAGTATCTTTATCTACCACAATTGTTTATGTATTATAGTTTTATTTTTAGCATTACAAGAAAAAGATTGATGTTCTGGCCATTCTGACCTTTGTTGTACACCTCTTAGCAAGATATCCGTATGATAAGGACACTCTGGTATCTCAATATTGGCGTTATCTTGATGTCCATGTTCCTACATTTACTTCATATGTGCTAGGTATACTATATTTATTATTGATAGTGAATTAGTAATTGATGTATATATATACATATATTGATGAGAAGTTGGTTAGAATGTTTAGTCAAACAAAGAACAAAGTAAAAATAAATAAAGTATATTTACTTTTATTTTTCCTGAAGTTTCGGCCCAAGATTCAATCCTTCATCAGGGCTAAGAAAAGATAGGGGGATAACATAAATTTGAGAAAATATAGTTCATATATTTGCCTTTCTTCATCATACATTTATTTATTAATGTTAAGTTTACTCTATCTGCATGTTATTAAACTATATTTTTTACCTAAATATTATTACTTTTACCATTTACTAGTTTTTCATATTTATGTTATCTTGCTTTTTGTTAGTCCTGAATCTTGGGCCGAAGCGTCGACAAAAATAAAACTAATTTAATTATTTTTACTTAGTTCTTTGATTGACTGAACTTCCCAACCAACTTCTCTTCAATAATTTTTATTATTTTCAATTGAAACTATTCATTAAGTTTTATTTATTATTTTAACTTTATTAATCTATAAGATAAAGAATATATGGTAATCACCTGATCGATTTTTTAAAAATCTTACTGTATTTAAATGTTTTAGCATCCTCAGTCTGAAAAAAATTGTTGTTGTGTCATCATTGTCCAATATTTGTTCTCTTAAACTATACTTAAAGGTTTTCGTTGAAATTTTGTGGGTATATTGCAGTTATTTCAGAGTCCCGAGGAAGGCAAATATTTCTTTTTTTTTAGAAATAAATCTTACAACAGCAGAATTTTAGGCTGGGCAAGTCAAATTTACTATGTGATTTTTACTCATTTATGTCGGAACCAGTTTTAAACCTCTTTTGCGGTTTTATTTGTTGTGGTATGTAGCTGAACTGAACTTTACTATATTATCTACTCCTCAACGAATATGTGTTATTACTTTATTTTCTGATCTCTCTGCTAAAATCATTTTTAGGGCCCGATTCATCATAGCAAATGTTTAAATTTATTTGAAATAGGTTTTTCATTTATGTAATAGTTTTCTTCTTATTTTTTATTAAACTAGAAGTAACAGGCATTTGTTTTTCTTTAATTCTCAAAGTTTTTAAAATCATCTATTATCAACATTTTTTTAAAATTACTTGGACTCAATTTGATAAATATTTTTGAGATCATTATTAATAAAAAGAATTATTTCAAATCTTAAAAAGGTCACGAGCCAATATTCTGTAGTATTACCATAATATGATTTATTTTAATATTTTCAGTTTTCCATTTGGTTTTGTTCTTTTATTTTTACCATCTAACTTTAATGAAACCTTGCCTCAGCACTTTTATTAATTAATTAATGAAAGTAGATGTATAGTTATCTAATTTTGTTAATCTAAATTAATGCATGGATTCACATTCTTCAAAAATTAAATAAAATTTACATATTTACTCAATTCCTTTCCCTCTCTCCATAAATTAATATACTTGTACTTTTCTTACTCTAAGATAATAGAATATATGAAAATGAAATTTTCTTTTGTTCTTTTAATGAAATTAGTGGTATCTTCAAAAAGTTGTAATAACTTGCACTAATAATAATGCTTTTTAAATATATTTGATTTAAACTAAAGTAGCCTTTGTAGTATATTTCATTAAAAAAGTTTTATATGATTAGTGAGAATTCTTGAATTGACTTAACTTAAATGCAATTATTTTTATTTTTAGGAAGTAGTGTTGAGTTTTGTCTCAACTTCCATGTTTTATTTTACTTGATGCTTCCTGGATTGTTTCTTGGAATAGCAATCAGAGATCATTGGCTTGGGATATGCAAAACTCTTCTGCCTCTTTTGGTCTGTTTATCTTGGTGGCAGTTGGCTGTCATCGCTTCCAGAGGTCAGTTTTCGACTTATGGTTTGAAACACTATCATTAATTAGTTTTACACTTAATATAGTTGTTTCGTAAAATGATTGCATGACTAGATTCTAGCTTTTAAGTTCTGGGACAAGAGGCGCGAGCTAAGTAGTTTTGTCACAGAAAAATAACAAGCATTTCCCGCCTTCAGCCTCACCTTAATCTTCTCTTCAATTTTGTTTTTTCTAGTTATCGTAGACCGTAGATACCTTAACTTCTCTACGTGTTCAAACATATTACCTTCTATATCGATATTGCCATTTGTGCAGCTAACCATATATTTTGTCTTATCCGTGTTTATTTCGAGCCCTAGTACTTTACCAGCTTCCATTAACATTTTCATATTTAGTTTTATAGTTTCCGTGTCTTCGCTTAACAGGACCAGATCATCCGCATAGCCAAACATGGGTGTTGTCCCACCCAGATCCAACCCATTTTCGGTATGCATTACCTCTCTAATGGCATGTTCTAATGCTAAATTGACATGACAGGCGAAAGGGAATCACTTCGTTTTAAACCCGAACGAACCTCAAACTTTTCGGACAAATTATTACCAATTCTAACTTTATTGACTGTTTCCGTCAAGCACATTCTGACTAGATTTACTAATTTTTTTGGAATCCCCTGCTCGATTAGAATATTATACAGTTTCTGCCAGTCAATAGAATCGTAAGCCTTTTTGAAATCGATATGGAGCTGGTGAACAACACCGTTGTACTCTAATTTTTTCTCCAATATCTGCTGTAAAGAAAATATTTGATCAATAGTCAAACGGTTCCGTCTGGATCTGCTTTGGTAGTCTCCGATAATTTCCTCAGGGTATTCCGTTATTTGACTAGTTAAAATTAAAGTGAATCATCATACTTAATATTAATTCATTATAATTTGTTTTATTATATAAAATTCAAACTTGTGTTTATTTTTAATATTTATAGGTGCTACTTATTTTGGTCTCATACGAGCCTGCCTGGGTGTGGTATGCATAATTATTTTTGTGCCGATGATGAGCTTTACCCTCCTCTTCATACCACTGGCAATGTTTTCTAAGCTCTTCATAACAGAAACTATTTCCACTCCAGTTGCTGTTGGTGGAATAATTTTATCTTCATTATTGTACCTCGGCAGCAAAAGGAAGAGATGGGGAAAACTGTTCTATTATTTAATGGTATGTGTATTTTTTTTAAAGAAATATTGCATTAGAAATTTTTTTTTTTTTTTTTTATTATTTTAATGGAATTCACAACTGTATTACATAGAAAATACAATAAGTAAATGTGAAATTGGTCACATGACATGTACAACATGAAGAGAAACTACCCATTGGTAGAACTCAAATTAAAGTTCTATATTAGAAGATCTCGAGGCCATATTCTTTTCAGACGCCTCGGAGGGTTATCAGGGATCGAGGAGGAAGCAAGGTTTGAAACGAGAGGATTCGGATGGTTCTGCAGTTTGTTATGGAAGGACAGGTATCTGGATTGGGCCAAATCAGAAACATGGAACATTAAGGTCTTTATGGATGATTTTATTTGTAAGTAAGGAGCGTTGAGGATTTTACAAAGGATTTTGGATTGTAAGGATTGGATACGAGAGGAATTCGATGGTTTAGTGGAGCCCCAAAGCTCAATTCCGCAAGTCCAAATAGGTCTTATTATTGTCATATATACGAGTCGTTTATAATTGATTGAAAGCTTAGATCATTTGTCTAGTAAGTGCTACAGTAGTCGAAAACGTCGGGCGGTTTCTAGTCGTTTCAGTCTGGTATGGGGGTTCCAAGTGAGTCGTTTGTCAAGGTGGAGTCCTAAGTATCGGATTTGTTCGACAGGGATGAGAGGGCTATTGTTGAAGGATACTGTAGGACAGGAAGTCATAGGTTTACAACGAAGAGTGAAGGTTATTTGATGGGATTTATTGGAATTTATTTTAATCCTCCAGTTTTGACACCATTTTTCATGGCTTGTGATGTGTGATTGAAGAGTTTGGGATGCAATAGATGGATCGTTATTAACTGATAGGATACACGTGTCATCGGCATAGGTGGTGATGACAGTGTTGGAGCATTAGAAAAATAGGAAAGAAAGATCTCCTTTTTTGTAATTGGTGTAAATTAATTATTTATAATGCTAAAGACTTGGTAAAATTTAAAGACTATAAATAAATAATCTTAGAATTTAACACGTAGTCTAGCCCATCTTATCAGTTATCCACTTTCTCTTCCTACTTTTTTTCTATAGGTCAAATTCAATAAAATAATCACTCTTAGTTCGTTGATCATTCTTTATTAATTTGTATGTTTCGGAAAATCATCTCTCTTCAGCATATTATAAGCATCACTATAGAGTAAGTCTTAGTTATCAATAAACTTGGTCAATGGTTAAAAGTCAAATGACATGAAAGTAGGGAGAAGGTAATTAATGAAAAAAAAAGGTCAAAAATTACTAAGTTAAAAATATCGTTAATTCAAGACATTTCTAATAGAAGTGTTACACCAATTTTTATTTTTTCAAAAATAAATTAGACTAAACAGTATTGGAGTAGGGGTTAGAAATAATATTATATTAGTACTTTATTTCATTTCTACATAATCAGGTGCTACTGAGTGTGGCAAGCGTCTTCCTTAATGTGAACTATGAGACTGAAAAAATGCAACATGAAGGGTTGCAATTGAAGGAGTATGAAAATATTTGTAAAGGAAAAGACATTCAGAGCATTGAAGCATGTTTGTCATTATCTGGATTATATGTCACCTGGGAGGCTAAGATCTTATCTTCTAAAATAGCTTCTGTTCACAATGCGGTTTCGCCTTTTGTCCATCGTTTACCTGAGGTAAATATTAATTCCGTTTACTTATATTCACTTCTTAATCTAAAACTTATTTTACTACATGATCCATTTTATTAATAAAAAAATATAATTTTTATCTTAAAGTAAGGCATGAAATAGTTTATGTCATATTAATTAATTAAGAAAAGATATAACTATTTATGAAATAAACAAGATTAATTTGCTTTTATATATTTTTCCTATGTATGTACACATTGTTTTTTTTTAACCTCGCCTTTTTTGGAGATCTTTATTTATGAAACTATTTTACTTTCACTTACCTATATGTGTAATATATAGTAAGCGGAAGTATTGTGATCTTGAAAATTTTTGAATCCTAGTTTTCAATGTAAATACACGTTTTGAGGTCCCCTGAGTCTAAATAACCAAGGTCCACAAAATGGTCTGTGTGCCAGTGTATATGTGAACAGTCTAGCTCAAAAACGAAAAGTCGTACTAAACTGATATTACCTATTTAAGATAGGTATATGCCTGGAAGCCGGGCCACATATCCACTGACTGCCTTGAATGTGAAAATGACGATGAGATTCAAGATGTACAAAACAAAGAAGATGAAGGCTTATTAATGCATTTCAACTCTGATACAAGCTATAACAATGAACAAACAATTGCCGATCACTCCTTAAGGTACTATTTGGCTGGCGCGGTCAACGACAGCGACCGCTATTCCCCCCTGCCAACCGCTGTTGGCGTACCTATTTTGCTAAAACTGCTCACAGGGGTTGTTATAACCTGCCTATAACCTTCGAACATTTCGCTGTATCTTCGAAGATAAAAAGATAGACATAATATAAGAATAAAAATGAACTTCCTATAATAATGAACATCTCTGACTACCGCTTTTTTATTTGAGTTGGAAAAAGAAGAGAAAATGTTGTTCATAAAGAGAAGGAATATCAGTATTTCGATGTGATGCTCATCATCAAAGTCCTTCTGATACTAGATATTATTAGTTTGAAAAATAATAGTAATTAATACATAATTAGTTAGTAATAAATATCATATATTTGTAATTAAATCTCAGCAAGCGATGTTTTATAGTTTTATCAATAGTAATCAGTAAATCACCACATTAATTAAAAAATACAAATCGTTTTTTCAATGGGTGGATTTTAGTATTTACCTGACGATAAAATTTGTTGAATTCTTTAATTTATTTAATATCGTTCGGATTTAGGTATATTTGTATTTCGCTGTAAAATATTGCTGGTGGAATAAATAAATAAATAATCTTGTTACTTCAATCTCAAAAAAAGAATTTACTATTGCATTGTTTCAGTTTTAAACAATATTTGTTATAATTTTGCCAGACTTGAAAGAAACATAGGAAATAAAACGTATCGATGGGACTGTTATCATCAAAACAATGCTCTGATATGATAACATAACCTACAACCGCCGAACCGCCAACAGCTCCACTGCTTCAAGAGGAGTCAGATACGAGCAGCTTAGATATGACGTCATACCTAAACTGCCGAGCAGCGCCAGCGAAATAGGTTCCTTTCTATTCCACTAAAGCAGTGGTCAAGCGCGAGCAGTCGCGGTCGTGGACCGCGCCAGCGAAATACTACCTTTACTAAACATGCCTGATCAGATTTTATCTACCAGCAGTATTACGATACAGCCTGTCACCATGATAACGCATCCACACCAACACAAGCCAATATAAACGAGACCACAACAAAGCCAATACTACTGTCATTAAATATAATAAGGAAACAGCTGTTGATAACAGCAATAATTTATTATTATCACCCTCACTGGTTTCTGGCATTAAATAATGTCATTTAAGCCCACCTTCCACTGTGTCCACCATGAAATTAAACCTAGTGTTAGATACACATCAAGATGTTGAAAATATTGTCAACTTCGAAGACTTTCCACCGATGGAAACTATTCTATCGGCTAGCAAAAAACCGAAGAAATTAAAAAGCCAATTGAAAATATTAAAATAAATCTTGAAGAACCCCGAAAACCCATCTTTGAAAATAACAAAAATACCCAATTTCTTTTAACAATAAGATAAAATTAATTGAAATGTCATATGATTCAATAAACTAGTTGAAGACTTCACTGATAATATAGAAGGCCTTAGGATCATGTAGGAAGACACTAGACATCATATTGCAAATTGGCGTTCAAAAATGAAGTTAACTAAGCTACTCAATACAGTGGGACACAATGGACAAGGTTATTAACACGGATGATAGCTCTGACAACTAATTAGTCTACCAAATTGTTTAACATATACCTATAAACCTTTTTTTATTTTTTAAATATATGTTTTAAGATGATGACAAAAACTATCAAAACATTAATTACACAGTGGAACTGTAATGGGTTTTACAAACATTACGAATATTTTAAATTATTACTTGCAGAAGAGACACATTTTTGAAATCCCAGACAGCAAACTTAAAAAATTATAATGAATTTTCTTGAAATAGAATACATTCTTTCTGGAAAAGTCATAAATTTCTTATGGATTCCATCACATTTGAGTATTGGTAGGAATGAGGAAGCTGATCTGATCACGAATGGTGCTAGAACGAATCCTGGTACCGAAGTGGCTTATGTCAATAAGACTACTCCCCTAGATTGGCTAACTACGTGAAGAAAAGAATATATGAATAATGGACAACTGAGTGGAGCAGAAGAGGCATTATCTGTGTAATGCTTCTCGAAAAATATGTAGTTTATTCATTAACATTATAATACTCCATGTTAAAAAAATCCCAGATTGTTTATACCAATGCAATGTTCTATGCTAAATACCCAGTATGGATAGATGCATTTGTTAAAATAATTAAAATATACAGTCATAAAAGCAATTGGTTAATATGAAAAAGCATAAAGATAATATATTAAACTGTTGTGAAAATATTTTAAAAAGGGTGGTAAGTGAAAGTTGTGTGAGTGATGCACACACCGTTTCAGATTTTTTTCACCTGTTAAAAAAAAAAGTTTAAATAATTTTTTTTATTGGTCCTTATTTGCTTTCATGATTGATCTAAGCTAAATAATTCAACAATTACAGTATGCTCTCTGAATATAAGCACGTGTCATGAAAAAATATTAGAATTTTATCTCTAAAAGTATTATTTTCCTGTAATGATGGTTATATGTATTTTTTTACAAAATTAAATCCTAAATATGCTACTTACTGGCTTCAGTGAATTCTTTCAGACATTTAAGTTATTTTTCAGAATGTTCAGGAAACAGTAAAATGTTTGATAGGAGAGAAATTCCAAGACTGTAATGAAGAAGATTGTGATATTTCACATGCATTGTCATCTAGATGCCATCTTTCTAATTGGAACAGGTAAGTTTTTAAGTTTGTCGGGAATTTTTTAATAATTTAATTTATTTTATATTTTTAAAAGATTTGTGATTAGACATCGCTATTGAGAGGTTTATTGCCTGTTCAAGTTACTTCTTAATTCAAATAGTTGCTCACATGTACGCTATGTATTGTTCTCTATTAGATGTGCAATTCATTAGGATTCTAACAGTGTTGCAATTATAAGCTATGAAGTGAGAATACAATCATGGTAACAACTAATAAAATTTATTATTTCATTACAGGTATGAATATATCTTTGAAGTTGAACTCACTTCTAACAGTTGGGTTGAAGAAAGCACCATTGGATTGCTGATGGGAGGTAATGATTTTCGAAATCATTCACAGCTTTTAAAGCAAGGAGAGATAGTATGGTTCTCTGGTTACTTAACTAGCAACTTCAAAAATCCTCGGCAACCGCAAATTCGCCTAAAAAGTCTCAATTGCCTTTCTTGTTTTCAAGGCAGTAGTTCAACTTCGGAAATTGAAAATAATTTTACATCAGTATTATTCAGACCTTTTTTCGATTTCCTTTTTTATCCGTTTGTTGTTTTTAAGTGACAACATAGGTAATCAATTCTTATTGTATAGTATGATAATCTCTTTTCTTACCCTAAGATTCAAATCAAACTCACAGAAGATAAACATTATCTAATTTTAAATAGATTTTATTTTGTATTCCAGTATTGTTGTCATAAATGTGGCTGATGTTAAAATTATGTAATGAAATTATTGATTGTTACCATTTGTTCTAAATTCTGTTCAAATAAGATTTAAAAAAGGATGTATGTGATTGTATTAATGTTGGCTTTATAAAGACCAATTATTGATTGTTGAAGTGGCAGTCAATCCCAGTTTTTATTATTAAGATAATTTTTTTATATTTTTATTTCTCTTATTTATTATTTTTTTACTGACCTTATGTAATAGTGTTTTTATATGATATTGTGCGTGGCTTATTAACCATTTGAAGTTACTGAGTTCTATATCTTAAGTCTTCATTTTCTTATAAGACTTCCTCAATTCTTGCATTTGATATATAATATTTTGTCATATTTTAAAAATATTAACATCAAAGGCGGTCACTTTTTATGACAATAGAAGTGATGTGCTAGTACATTACATGGTTCAGTTGAACCTTTTTTTATTTAACACCAGTTATGCAACTTTTTAATGTTTTGAGCCTCTCTTGCATTTTGATGTTTCATAATTATCACAATTGTTTGCTGTCAATGAGAATGAAATAAATTGATTGATCTGTTATTATCTATCAATAAAAACACAAAATGTAACATATAAAACTGAAAGTTCTCTTTTTGTTTATGCTGGATAAAATATGTATATAATTCAATGCACTGTTAGTGATCGAGGTTAAATTTCAGTAATCTACCCATTGCAGCCTCTCGTATTATATGCCAACCTTGAAAGACTGTTGTTTTCAGAACCTATGGCCAAAAACAAAAACAATCATTAGCAAGACTCTTAAGCTTATGCGTAGACTTTCCATTATGATTGGAGGTCGAGTATGAATTTAAAAAAAAAATTCTCAGTTTACATTATGTATACAAATCATGATTGATAATCAACATTTTTTTTTTGTCTTACGCCTCTTGACTTCTGTCCTGAGTCTTCTAGCAGCTTTGGGGCTGTTATAGGTGGTAGCACGTGGTTTACAATAATCAGACGGGTTCACAAATCACTCCCTCTTCATCAGGCACTTTCCTGAAGGATGGTTGGCAACCTTTTGTGGAAATCTCCCAACCTGGTGGACCAGGAGCTATAATCTAAGACACAGGAGTCGTTCACATACCTGTGAATCTGAGAGATGGGGACGTTACCGTCCATCCCCGCCATTCCGGGATCGAATCCTCGCCATAGTCGTCTAAGCAATCGAGTAGATACTCCACTTATTTATTTATTTATTTTTTGTTATTAAATTCCACGAACGGGATTTGAACTCATTACATAAAATTTCTTAGATGCTTTAACTCGCTCGACCACTGTAGCCCCAATAATCGTATATTATAACATATAAATAATCAACATAATTATTGTGAAACAAACTATATAATACTGTACATAAAAATAAATTTACATGTGTTTCTATTTTATTTATTTTTTGCTTATTGATATATTTGAAAATATGTTAGTAAAGCAATTGACATAATTTTATTTAATGGTTTTTGACAGTGATATGAACTCTCAATTCTCCAATGCTTCAAATTTACTGAAAAAAATGTAATAAAATCTTCACATAAAAAGAACCAAAATTTCAATAATATGATCATAGGGCGTGGTTTAGTAATTGCATATGTACTTCTAGGCCTTAGCTTAGGCATCTAGTCGACTTTTCCTTTTTTCTAAATTGATTTTGATTTTATTTTCGTTCTTCAAAATATTGGAGGGAGCAGGCGAAACAATATTTTTGCCTCTTCTCTATGTTTATTGGGAAAAATAAACTTCCCCTTCCCGAAGACTGGGCCAGAATCATAAAATGGAAAATTACGAAAAACAAAATTGTTTTGCAACTTGTTAAATACATGTTCAGAAATAATTGTGAAATGAATAACAATATAAATAATTATAGAACATTTGACTATACTAATGCACTTCAACTTCAATTCGCACAAACATGGCGGGTTAGTTGGTTGACCAGGCCTTTTCTAGAAAATCAAATTCTAAATGGCATTCGATATAATTAATCTCAAGGATTCTTATTCTTCTGTGTGAACTTATGTTATTTCTGTATCACGTCTACTGTCTCTTCAGAAGTTATATTTGCAAGTTTTTATCTTTTCAATTCAAAAGATTTCTTCGAAAATTCTCTAATCTCCGCTTGAATAGTGGTTCTACAAATTCTATGTAATCATAAGTGCAATGTTGTTTTGTTTTTTTATTTTAATAGGAAAAATTATAAAACTTCATTAGTAAAGTAGAATTTTTAATCTGAAAGATATTTTCAATCTTTTTTTTTTTTTGTAAAATATATAAACAATGTTGTAGTATAGTTAAAATTTATGTTCCTTTCAAAATTATCCCGAAAGAATGTTAGACTTCATCAATGTTTTATCTTTTGATCAATATTTACTAATTGTGTTTACTTTAGGATTTTCTACAATTACGTTTAAAAAAAAGTTAATTATCGCTTTATTAGCTTATCAAATTATTACAAAAAATGAAACTTAAGAGGTGCATTTAAACCTTCGAATAAAAATACTAAGTTTAAATAGTATTTATCTTGGATGGATTATTCTTCTGCATTTATTATATGATATTATTCCATTCAATATTCCTAAAAATATTTTTCAATTGTAAGTAAAATCAAAATGCTTAAATTAAATGTGGGCCAATTAGTTTACCTCACATATATTTTGTAATAAATAGCGGTACTTTTTTAGTAGTCTATTTAATCAGGGATTTTTTGTTACTTTTCAATTAACTAACAAGAAATTAGTTAAAATAGTTATTCATCTGCTGCAGTAATGTTAGGTTGAAGTAAATAAGAAGTACATATTCTAGTTATCCTAACCCACTTTTATATATAGGATATTTAATCAAAATAAATACAATCCAAATGATTTGGGGAATAAAATTTCCAATGGCATTAAACTGGATTGGTTCCAAGCATTATAGTTGTGCATTAGGTTTTCATTTGAACGTAACTTCACTTATCTGCACATTCTAAACAGAGTTTGAAATTAAATATATTTTATTTTTCTTGAGTTATCAATAAAAACTGATATTTTTTTATTTATTTATGGTTTTGTTCCTGCAGAGGTCAATGATTTGAATTTAGTTAGGTACTTGTGAGCTGACTATAAATTAAAAAAAGCTTAATTTTAAGTTAAAATACTAAGATTAAATGTTTTTAACTAATCTAAACAAAGATATTGGTTGTTCCTACTCATGTTTGAAGTTTTTTCATTATACTATGTAGAACTAAATTTGATCGAGGTTGATTTGTCTTAATTTTATAAAATACTAAATAAAATCAGTTTGACACTTGCCTTTAAATAAATGTATGAATTAACTATGGTCAAACATGAGCAAATTTATTTTGAATTTTATAAAAAAATGTTTAAATAGTAAAGATTTATTAATTTAATTCTTTTTGAATATGACTATTCCTTGCCTCAAAGGTGTCTCAAAATGTGAATGTAACTAAAAACACATGTCACACAAACAGGGATTTCTAATAATAATAAAAAAAATCTAAATGTTTTTCTGGGAAAGGCAGGTGAAGTCTCTATTTTAATTACAGATGAAAACATCATTCATTATTTGTTAAGGAGTAAAGTTTCATTCAAATAATGCCCAAGTCTGATTATGACACCTACTGCTATTGTGGTGACTATAACTTAAAAAAAAAGTAATTATATTTCAGATAATAATTTATTTTTATTATACCTAAATATATGTATAGGATGTTATTAATATATTTCTAATTAAAAATTTAAGTTGATCTTATTTTTGTGCTTTAAATAATTTCATAAGACTGTTAAGATTATTGGTTAAGGGAATTGTTTAACACCTTAACTACTAAATGAAATTATTAAATTTTAATTAATTAACGTTGTGTATTAATTATTTGTGCCTTGAAATCTGCACCTATGGTTACCAATGAAATCAAGAAAAATAAAATATAAACATATTGTTATTCTTTAGGAATAAAAATTGTATTTACTTGTTAGCTCTATAGTTTTAGACTTCTCTTATATGTGTAAAAAAGAAAAAAAAACTACAAATTGTATTTCTGATTAATATAATACTTTACTGCTAAATATTTAATTTTAATTTTCCCCAAATAATTGATTTCTTTCATGTCAAGTCCTGGAAAATTATCCTAAAAAATATTATAGTTTGACTCTTGTTACTTCAATGTGTCTTGAATGTTTGTTTTTTTAATAAAAAATATATTTAATGTAATATAATAATTTTTGTTTAAATATCTAACCTCTCTCCTGCCCACTTTAAGTTTTATTTTATGTTTTATTATATATATTTTTTTCTTTAAGGTGACTTCAATAAAGTATCTTTGACTAATATTAAAAATCAGTTGTGGTTTTACTTCTGAAATTGTTCATCGACTGTACCTCAGTTTTAACAGTGTTCCATACTTTATTAAAAAGTTCTGAGAGTGGTTCAATTGAAAAAAATATGAAACGGGCCTTGATGTGTAACTTTAATCCAAAATTAGAATGGAGGAAATATGAGTAAATTTCCCCCGTTTTGCTATTTTAAAAAAATCGACTAGAATTATATATTTAAGTGTTTGTCCTTGCGAGGATGGGCTCAAAAACAATGTTAATTGTGGTCCAGAGCCATACTGTGACAAATTTACTAGTGTAACCAGAAAAGAAAATTAAATTTTAGGAAATATGCTAGGTCTAAAAAGCTGGTGTTGCGACCAACATAGATTAGTTATTTTAATTTTTTCATTTTTTTTTTTTTTTTGTTTCCCTATCATTATATGGCAAATCATTTTTTTTGTATGTCATTATTTTATTATATCGAATATTTTGTATACCCCGATACATTCCAAACAGTTAGTGATGTTCTTGGCTACTCATGGTGCGACTCGTCTTTTATCGTATGTCATGTAACATGAAGTAGAAAAGAAAGTATGGCCCTGGATGAATTATGACTTACATGAGGTCTTATACCATCACATCTCTCCCTGGAAAAAATCCAAGATTTGTGATGGGCGATTTCCCACATCTGGGACATTATCTTCCTCCAGGAGGAACGTCCATTGAGCTGTACATAAGTTGTAAAAAACAGGCCTCCATCCATTTAAACATCATCTCAAGAAGATGAAATTAATGGAAAATTCCACCTTCTGGTTTTTTAATCCATATAAGACGATGAAAGGTTTGAGTGAATTATGTGCTTTCATCAGATTTCATAATTTAAAACAGGAAAAACTTAAACTAATGTGTTTCTTAAGAAGTATATGATTTCTATGGAATCTTTAACAGGAGGATCCTCACAAAACAGACCTGTATGAATCATTGTGGTAGAAGGTTTCATCTTCTTCTATAATTTAATAATAAATATAAATTTGTTTTATTTTAAAAAGCCGATGATTGGTGATTTTTTAATTACTTTAACTTAACATAAATTTGTTTCATTTCCACTTCTCTTATCCTTTTTCTTTTTTATAAATTTAGTGTCCAGTTTCTACATTTTATGCTTTACTCCAAAATTTCTGTCTTTTTTACTTTCACTTACGTATATATGAAATACATAGTAAGTAAGTATTGCGATCGTGAAAATTTTCGAATCTCAGTTTTCAACGGAAATACGTGTTTTGAGGTCCCCTGAGTCTAAATAACCAAGTGTTGCAAAATGGTCTGTGTGTGGGTGTTAACAGTCTAGCTCAAAAACGAAAAGTAGTACGAAACTGATATCAAGTATTTAAGGTTTGTATATGGGCCGGATGTGACAGTAACTTTTTCGTTAAAATCGGCTAACCGGAAATGCCACTTTATATGAACGCTGAAACACATTTTTACAATTTTCTCAAATACGACTCTAACGATTTTGATTAAACTCGGTGTATCTTTGTATAATTAAGTGGACTTTAATATCATTTAGTCCTTACCCCCTTTGATGTCACTCTGCAGGGCTTAAATGCCCAATGTTCATATGTGTCTTCCTCTAAAGTACCTTTAATTTTAAATAATCAATTATCTCTCATTATTAAAAATTATGAAAAAATGCTAAATATAACTTTTGAATGAATTTGATGATTGAATAAAGGAGAAAAAAATAAAAATGCTTATCCAGGTCGAAAATGAATCTCTGGAAATACTAGTCCGAAGATATACGTATAATATATCGTTGGAAAGCGGAGAATTTTAGAAAAAACAATATCGAATATAGATCGTTGTAAAAGGAAACGGAGATTGGCAAAAAAAAATTAAAAATAATATTTTTTTAAAACTAATATTTAACGTAAATCACATGTTTTCAAGGAAATTAAATGAAATTTAATAACTAAATGCAGCCTTTTAAAATATTTTTAAGATTGAAAGAAATATTTAAAATCCACCTAATAAAGGCAATGACATTGTTTAAATAACTATTTGATTGTACTTGTGTGAAAGAAGAAGTAAAATATGAAATCATTTCATGCATATGTTTATAACCTTAAATATATTTACTGTAGTTTAATAATTTTATTAGAATCCATAATCAATTGATCGTACAATCAATCTATAATCAACCGGTGATATAATAAATAGGACTTTGGTTATTTAAATGGTATTTATGATTTGTTAGCTGTAATTTTTTAGCTTCAGCTCAGTTAAAAATGCAATTCAAAAATTTTATAATAGCCCAATATGGCCAAAAATAATTTCTATGCAAAGTTGAGGGATAAGTGAAAGTTGTGTGTTGCCCTCACCAGATTTTTTTTTTTTTTTGCACCCAAGTTACTGGTCACCTCAGTATGATCCTGGAAGCACAGTACCATTAGCATTTAATTGTGATGACCATTTGTAAGTTTTATATGCCCATATCTCGTTCATTTATGAAGATTAATATATATTCTGTATTTGTAACTTTTTCTAAAGGGACACTAGTCCCAGAATAATAAAATTATTTTTCATTCATTCATTCATTCATAAAAGAAAAATATCCAGAGCTATTGAATCATCAAACCAAAAAAAAAAACACTACCACCCTCTGCTATTAGTGGGCTGATTCATGAAGATTTGTCATTTATGCATTTCAAATGTTGTGCCAAAATGGCAGACAATTCAAGGTTTCATGTGGAAATATCTCTGTGTTTGGAATAGTTACAAAAGCCTTTAAAATATTTTTAATAATATGTATCCATATATTCAATCCAAATAATGTTTTTTGGCATTATTACTATTTAAAGGTCCGTTTAGATAGTTCACTATAATATTTACATATTGGTAAATAATTATTTCAAAATTCATGAAAATTAGATTAAAATATAATGCCATTTTCTTTGTTACTGTCACTAGAATATCACATGTTATTTTATTCTTTCCTACATCATTAAAATATATTAGGTATTTATGAATATTAAATATTAGGTATTCAAGAACGTTTCGTAAATAGGATTTATCATATTTATTTTGAAAAACAAAAATTATACGAGGAATAATCTGCGGCGATCAATCAATTTATGTATTAAATTAAAAACAATAATGCGGAGGTATGCAGTTTTCCAAGGTTGTGTTTGGAGGAAGCTGATTGTGAACAATAACTGAATATAAACGTTTCCAAGGTTTTCGTAAATAAAATATTAAATCAGGAAAATATCCAATAGAGTCGAAATAATAATTTATAACTGTACCTAACACGATTAAGTTTTATAGCACTAGAGCCGGAAAATGGTCAATTTCAAATCAGAATAGCAATTTTCTAAAAATTTATTGAAACCTGTGTCATTTTTAACATCACATTTTTATGATTTCCTCAAAAACGGCTCTAACGATTTTGATTAAAATCAGTATCAGAGTATTATCAAGCAGTTTTTAAAATAATATAGGTTTTATTCTCATTTATGTTCTCTAACAGTGATCAAATGGCTAATTTTCAATATTAGCTTCCTCTAAAATACCTTAATATTTTTTTATTTGAAATAATTAACCATTTCACATTAATCTTTAATATAAAAAATAGTTAAATATAAGATATGACATAATTTGATAATTAACTAAAGGAGAAATAAAAGATCGTAACGGATAATAGTAGGAATGGAGGAGGAATCAAAGAAATATGAGCGTACCCGACATCGCCCGAAATATAACGGTCCATATAGCTCTGGAGCCAGGACCCAAAAATCGACCTGATCGCAGGCGAAAGTTTGATTGAAAGTGTATGTTATTCTGAGTAAAAAGAACCTTGTCTGCCGTTCCAGAGCCGAATATTTGGCCAATAATTTGAGGATCGAAACCGGAAATGTAAGAAAAGTTTTTATTTTTTTAACTTCCATATATGGTTTTAGACATGTAAAAAAAGAAATTGCTAACTCGGGCCACCAACTAACCAAGTGAGTACCAACTAATTTAATGTAGGTCACTTACTGCGAACAAAATCGGTAATCTCCTGATGGTCAGAAATTGGTACTGAAGGTAAACTTGATTTTCAATGTTTCAATGGTATAGGTGTCTATTCTACTGAGTTATTTTTGTAAGAGTCTGTTACATGCAGTATCAGTCCCTTTTCCACCTCTCAACAGCAAAGGATTTTAGTAAACGATGTGTCGAAAAATACCGAATTTCATAAAGAAATACCGAATCCCGATTCGAGATATATAATTGGCCTACAATACTCGGTAGACGAAAAATTTGATGCTCTACAACTTCTATTCTGTGAGGTTTTCCTGTAAGGGAACTCATTACCAAATTACAGAACCAATTATAGTAATTTGTCTCAGTTTTTGACAAATTTGGTAAAAATTAGCGTTGGTGACCGTGGTTTTATACCTTACCGCATAACCAAATTATAAAGTTTGTGTACTCGTTTGACGCAAAATTTAACGTTCCTTAATTTATTAGATAATACATTTTTCGCTTTGATTCATTGTTTAGGAGTTAGAGATGAAGAAACAAAAAAATATCGAAAATATCTGACTTTTTTGGCTGTAAAAAGTTTTTCCTTGGTGGCCCGAGTTAGCAATTTCTTTTTTTACATGTCTAAAACCATATATGGAAGTTAAAAAAATAAAAACTTTTCTCACATTTCCGGTTTCGATCCTCAAATTATTGGCCAAATATTCGGCTCTGGAACGGCAGACAAGGTTATTTTTACTCAGAATAACATACACTTTCAATCAAACTTTCGCCTACGATCAGGTCGATTTTTGGGTCCTGGCTCCAGAGCTATATGGACCGTTATATTTCGGGCGATGTCGGGCACACTCATATTTCTTTGATTCCTCCTCCATTCC